CAGGAGGTGCAGTCTGGGGGATGAGAGCTCCTGGGATGTACAGGAGGTGCAGTCTGGGGGATGAGAGCTCCTGGGATGTACAGGAGGTGCAGTCTGGGGGATGAGAGCTCCTGCTATCCCAGCATTCAGCGAGAGTGTGAAGAGTCAGCCCCAGTCACGCTGTGGCAGAGAGGAGGATTTCCCAAAGTATGCCTGGACTTTACCTGTTTATAGGAATGGGACATTCTGAATGCCGTCTTGGACAAAGGCAACATTACCTATTTGTTGTGGGACTCCTGCGAGTTTGTAGCGGTCACCAGAATTGCCGCAGGCGACACCCCCTGCCATATTCCATCAGCCTCAACAAAATCCACCAAGCTGGCCTCAGGACAAGCTATTTCAGGCAGGTTTCTTTACCGTCTGCCAGGCCACAGCGTTGCTCGAGTCCCGTTCGCATACTTGAATCTGAAGCACCCAAAAGCTTAGTGACCTCATCCGAATCTCTCATACCCATCAGCTCGCACCCACCCACATATGAAAGTGAGGCTTCACCCCCACCACTTCCCATTTCCTCCTCTGAAAAGTCTTCAAAGCCGCTGACCAACATCCACCACCACCCTATGACGTGCCTGAGAAGAGCAGGGGGGAGGGGGTCTGCACGATGGACATGCTACATCAACACCATCCGGACCCCAGGCTCAAAGCGGAGCCTTAAGATCACATGCCGGGATTTTCAACCACAGCACTTCGAACACACAAGAGAAAACAATTAATTGGAGGCTGCCGGAGAAGCCGCACGTTAATTAATATAATTAGCCAGTATCTCAATTGACAGGAGCGTGCAAAAGCTGGGAATGAAGGCAGTGATGTGCAAGAGATTGATGAGTAATTAGACCCCCCAGCACTGCCCACAATAGCCAGGCTGCTCTGGAGCAATATTTTAATTAGTCCCTCCCATTCCCTTGCTTGGCACAGGCCTAAATCCCCCTCGCAAACACATCTGGAGTCATCCAGCTGCAGGTTTTGTGTAAAAGGAAACGCTGATATCTGCGATACTCCTTAAGGTTCAGATATTACAGTCAGACAGCGTTGGGCAGACCCTCCCTCCACTGAGATCCGCAGCCAAAGACCGAAACGCCTGCAGACGGAGTAACGCTACGGTCGCTAGACGGCTCCCGGATACTCGCAGTGGGCGACCTGATTTGTCTGCGGTGACAGCGGGTGGCCTAGTTAGCAGGTGATCGACTGGAAGGGAAGGCTCGGGTCTTCCCAGTCCTCCCATAATCGGTGACAAGACCAGCGGAAAGCAGGAGCACAGAGCTCATGCAACGTGCCACTTTGCATACAAGAGGAAAAGGCGAAACATTTGCAAAAGACCCGTTACAAGATACCGCTGGCGGCCCGAGCTGACAGATACCTCCATGCTTCCTGCGAAACGCTGACGAGCATGTGACCAGCACCAGGCGACAGACCAAACACACCACACTCAAACACAAGCCCACCTCCTCAGGCAGGAGAAACATCAGGTAAAAACAAAATGAAGATGAGGAGCAAAGAACTTAGTGTAATGCTTCAATAAAAATCAAAGTCCAAAAAGAATGAACATTTTAATCATTTCATTACTCGACACCAACACTGATGCACAACAAACGTCCAATAACCAGATGTTCTCCTTTTAAAATCTCCATGATGCTCCGATCGTAACTTTGCGGCGCATGTCACCCCCGACATCCGCAGACGAGCACCCCCTCGGTGACGCCCGCCCAGTCACGACGTCCGCTCCGCCCCCTCACTTCCGGCTCGGCTCCTTGCGCTCCTTCGCCTGGGAGCCTCCCGGCGTGGCGTTGGCCTTTTCCTGTCCCGGCTCCCACAGCGCGCTGCGCATAAACCTGGATGCCGCCGCTTTGTCCAGACGGGCCGCCGTCTTCCTGTCCGCGATCTCGCGCACCTTGTTCATGTACGTCCGGATTCTCTCCTGTGCGACAGGGACGGGTTAGAATCCACCTCCGCCACCAGTTACGTCAGGCAACCCTTTCCCAGGATGCTCTGCTTTTAAGCTGGTGAGACAGCACCTGCTGTATGTAAATATATGAGGTTTATCCCACCCCATCATGCCACCCCCCCCCCCCCCCCCCCCACCCCCCCCAAGTCCCAGGAGGCCAATTTTAAGCAGCTTAAATGAAAGCTTGCAGATGTAGTTACACAACAGGCCAGCGCTTCAAGGAAAATATCAACCTTACTTAGAAAAACAGACTTTTAAAACGACAAAACAAGAGGGAGGGCACATGGGAATTCTGGGAAAAAAGAAAGGGTTAGATAAGTGTGCTTACAGACAATAGTTTCCAGTTCACTTTCTGAGAGCATAATTGCACATATCAAAAAGGAATGCTGAAAGGAGAATTATTAAGGCATAAATTACAAAACAGTACTCTGGAGTAGACACATCCTTGTCTCCAGGGCCAAAAAAGCTTTTATCTCAGAGTTTTGAAAGCTCAGATGGAGGGGGGAGGAGAAATTAACTCAAGGCATCAGCCCCCATTTTTTCCGCCAGTCTCCTTCTTGGCACTGAAGAAGCACTTGATCCTCCACAAATCCCACTCTGTCATTCAACGATACGTATTAATCTTATGTGAAAGCAAAAATTACGGCAGAGTCCTTTTAATGTGGCCAATGCACAGCTGTCCTTCATTCCTAACTAATTGTTAGCACAGCTCTATTACTTGAGAAGCAGAGGACTTCAATGGTGGGGGAGATGACTGCGGGTGAACTGTCTGATGGAGTTTAAAAGATAAATTTAAAGACAGCTTGTGTCACATCAGAGAATGTTTCATTAAATATCAATTAAGTAACTATTTACTTACATAAATTTCAACCATAGTACGGTGTTGAAACAATATTGCACATTAAAGAAATATCCCTTTAATAGAGTTCAAAGGTCACCCAAAGCGGCTCAGTGATTGGACTGTCAGGGACACTTACCGCTCACCTTGCTTTTGCACTGAGTGTTAATGTGGATGTGGATTTTTTTCCACTTCTGTGATGTAGCCAGTTGTATGTCAGCAGATGAGTTAACTCTAAACGCAAACATTCCTGCACACACACACAGGACCACCACAGAGACTAGACATGTGTGCGCGCAAATTCAAAATGACAAAACCGTAACCATTACACAACGAGCATCCAGTTGCCTATTTATGGTTTACTTTTTCCAAGTGTGACTGTCAGAAGCAGTGTTCTGATGTTTATTTACACAATGAATGACTTTAATGAAGAAAAATGTAACAAAGAATGGCAACAGAAGCAGTGAACCCAGTATCACTGTCAGACTGTTTGCTGAAGCAAGAAGCAGAATGAGCTGAAATCAGCAGCAGTTAAAAACAGCATGTGTGAATTGTCAGATGAAGAATGTTTAAAATGTATTGCCTTTATAGAATAAATATGTGGTTAAATCCAAGCAAAAAAAGTAACTGAAGTACTCACCAACTCTTGCTTGACTCCATGCTCCTTTGGGTTTACACCTTGTGTAACCAAGTATGCTGCCGTGGGGAAAAATAGCAGGTAAAGCTATAGTACACACTAGCACAGGGTTTCCCACTAGCACAGGGTCCACATTTTTGCTCCCTCCCAGCTCCCGGTAGAGAGCAAAAATGTGGACTGTCTGGGAGGGAGAAAAAACATGGACCAGGTTGGGAAACACTACACTAGCATGTCAGGAAAACCCCCTACCTTATAAATATGTAGCAACATTCACATTATAAAAAAAAAAAATCCCTCAAAATCCAATTTGAAAACAAATAGGTTGCTAACAGAAAACACTTCATTGCACAACCCACTATCCAGGGACTTATTTTGGTAGGAGAACCTACGGTAGGGTAATTGTTCACCTCAGGCTACATTAACTAATTACTATGCACTTGAAAGTTACGCACATTATCCCCCACGGAGAGGGCAGTGCCAATCATATTTTAAGATTAACAACGCTATACTTACTCCAATATAACGAATTTAGGGCATAAGCAGACATCAGGTCCAGCTTGGCTTGTTCAAGGGGATCCAGCTGGAAGAAAGAAAAAAACAATATAAGCTGAGCATAAGTCCTAACCACGGTTTGCTGGAGACTGTTCAATCTTTCTTTGTAAAGACACAGGCAATCCAGCGCAATACCCAGATTTGCTTTTGAAACGTTACACCAAGGCCACGTCTTGCACTGAGACATGGTCGTTTTTGCTGCATCCTCAGGTAAAACTCGTAGCGGTCTTACTTTTTGAACGAGCTCATTTTTCGACACAGACACCATGGTCTTCACCATGTTGTGCAGGGAGTCCACAGAAGAGTCGAACTCCGTCAGATACTCTTCGATCTCGGCTGGGTATTCCTCGGCGGGTATATCTTCATCTGCCATTTCCTGTAGTTACGTCGATGAAAGTTATCCAGCCGTTGCTTAAAACCATTAACCCCACTGATCTCCGACAGAGTATGTGGCAAGCTAGCTTATAATATCAGTACCATTGACTAACTAGTTGCATTGTAATTATAGCATAGTCGGGTGTTCCTACTAGAAGCTTCAATCACAGTTCCATCATTTCCTTTTACGACCACTAACCACGTTCGTACACACAGGAAAAACACAAAAAGGAAATACTTATAAACGTACACACACCTGCACCCAAACACGTTTTAAGTTTACTTCCTCGCGTGACGAAATTCCCGGAAACGGAAGCAGAAATATGCAATCTGGGAAATGTAGTTTTACAGCTGACAGCTATATTTTACTGTCATTATGAACACAGTTTTAACACTGAACACCAACAATAGTGCGTATAATCAGTTAAAATTAGATCCATTGCTGTCGTTATCCGTATATATTTTAATAATTTCTGTGTGCTTTAAATATTTTGTTTTGTTAAATTATCTTGTTTCTATAGTGACAGCGTCGTGGGGTTGAACCTAGGTACAAAAATCAGAGAAGTTTACCACTTTCGTGCGGAAACTTCTGTGGTCCGTCTGGATCGTAAAATAATACTATGGACAACTGTGATTTGGAGAAGATCACAATTTCAGTCGGAACATTAGAACCCCCTTTCCAACCATCTATCACGCGATACAAAGTTACTGTCCCGAGTAATATTAACCAAGTGACACTGAACCTACAAACCAGTGACTGCGGCGCCTCGTACAGAATCGTGAGTACTATCCCCTCGTTATCTAGGCACAGGTACTTGGTTCAAGCCTCTGCAAACCCCATATTTCCTTTTCAGCGTTTTGGAAATGGCTCAAATGTATTAAAAGTAGATGATGGAATGAATCAGGTGGATATAGAGGTAGTCGCTGAAGATGGTACATCGCAGATTTACAGCATAGAAGTGATAAAGCTGTCGGCCAGCACAGCGAAACTGGAGGACCTAATAGTGTCGCCGGACACAAAGCTGCAGCCTACATTTTCCGCAAACATGTATGAATATTCATGTAAGTCTGCTATGTAATCAGCATTTCAATACGCCGCCGCACTTCAAACGGCGTGCTGTAATGCAATTAGTAAATTCATTTTCTTAGGTATGGCTAATTTCGATTGCGACGCAATAACTATTCTGCCAAAAATACCGGATGAAAACATGCGAGTTTCGGTCAACGGGACTGATATGCCAGGACTCATCCACTTAGCAGTAGGTGACACTCGGATTGAGACCAAGGTTTGCTCGGCAGATGGCACCAAATCCCAAGTAAGAGATCAGAGATCACAATTCTACCAAATTTTGTTAAAACAATCAACTGAAAATATTTGCTGTTCTTTTTTCTTGTGTCATTTTCAAAGCAAACGAGGCTATTATTTTTTTTTTGAAATCACATTGAGTAGGTTTGCTGTGCTTGCAGAAAGATACTGCTTGCAAGTGCATCATCTCTTGCAGGTTTACACAGTACTGGTGACACGGAGGGAAATTCCCTTGGCTTTTACGTTTAATGACGTGAAGGACCGGTTGGAATATGAATGTCCCGTTTCTCTAACAGCCTTTTACCGTCCTGTTTCAATCAGTCCCAGGTGAGGTGACACCTTTAATGCTGCCTGCTTACTGCTACCCAAGCCCACAATGATGATTTATCTGTGCGGCTTATGTGATCCCTTCCACAGCGAGCCTAAGCATATCTTCTCTTCACCATACATTGACATGCTCACCCGGAGGTCAAAGGTGAACCCTCTGAATGAGCTTCCCCTGACGGAAAGCTGGCGGGCACCAGAACTTGATCTGGACAAGAGAATGTCAGCTGCTCTAGTCCAGTGTCCCTTCCACTATCGTGGTAGGTTCTGGTCAGCAAACCCTGAAACGTACCCACAAACCCCCAGTGTACCCACTTTGCATATCCTCTTCCAGGTGACTTGGTTGGCCGTTTACAGATTTGCACAACCCGCAAGCAACATTGTTTCCTTTTCCAGGTCTCGAAGTAGAGCGGTGTGCACGACAGAGCTTTTTATGTTTACTCCTGCTATTTGTTTATAAAATTTATTTGAGGTCAAGTGGGTTGTTCAGGGACTCACCTGCACTGTTGCTCCTGGGATGCACTAATCAGACATCCAGCACTAAGCGCTGCTGCTCCAGGATGCAGACACACTAATCACAAGATAAATTGTAACTCTAATTAAGCAAGCGGGGTCTGACAGAGACAGAAGGTGTTTCTGTCCAACAGTCTGTTTGTGTGTGCCTCTTCTGCCTCTGAGGCATCCGCGCAGTCCATTAGTGCACAGGGAGTGACCTTGCCTCTACCCCTTGGGAAGGATGTGAGAGTCTGCTGAGGTTGTCCGAAGCTGGGTCACATGCCAAAGGATGTCCGTGCAGGCCGCCCCAAAAGCTGGACCCAAAGGTCAGTGTGGAAGCCTCAAACGGAAGCTCAGGTTGCAGGTCACGTGTCCGTCATGTGAATATGCGTGATTGTCCTTGCAGGAAGTCACTGGGACAGAGTGGTATAAGAAGCACTTTGCATTCTCCAATAAACTGGAAATCGAGACGAAACACACCTTGGAGGTAGAAGCTGTGCTATGTTTGCCTGTATCTATACTGTCAAGTGATTTGTTACAGTCAGTTTTGCATCGATAAAAGTACACAAAGAATGAAATATTTAACTATTTAGACGTGCTTTGGAACCTGTATTACTGTATTGAGATTAAGGTGCACAATATGACTCAAAAACACTAATTAAAACAACACACCTAGTCTTATAAGCATAGTCTTCATTTGACTAACTTTTTCTGCAAATCAAATATGGTACGGTCCCCAAGGAACTGCTCAAGAAAGACTAGATCAATGAACAGAGAGCTCGCTCTTTCCCCCCCGAGATGCGAAGCTGGGAGATGCGTCTCCAGACGGCGATAGGGGGAGACGACGTCGGCGAGCTGTGCCGTCACGCTGATGCTCAGCTCAGACTCTACCGAGAGAGGCTTCCTGAGGCAGGTTTGTGAGACCTCTCCATGGAACTATCCAGCTATGATTAGAGAAGCTTCCGGGTTAGCCCTCTGCTACAGACAGCATAGTCAGACCAGAAAAAAACACACTAAACATGTAGTCACTTGGAATTTTCATTCATCTGCTTCCGCAATCAGAATGAATGGTTGTGGAACCTCACTGAAAGGTGATAATGAAACTGGACCCACTGTTCTGTTGCTGCGAAGGTAAAGCTCAAGTAAAAGACAACATAACCTCAGGCAAGATTTAGGCAGAAAGGAGTTATCTGGGGAAATCTGGGCAGGACATAGAGTTGTACAACTTGGTGATGTTCTTGGCTTGGCTGCTTGCACGAGCCCCCTTGCCCAGTGGCGTCCCAAAGCTCATATGTCTCCTACACTCTCCGTGCGGCACCAGCTACTGTTGAGCTCCCCATGTGGATCTGTGATACTCTGGCCCAGAGACTGCAGTGAAGCCCAAAAAGCCCCAAAAAACAACATGTCTGCCCACACTTAAAAAAAAAAAGAACCACTGGAGAGATCGATACGGGCTCCGGCGGTTCAGGTATTTGAAAGCTGCCCTCTGACCGGAAGCACCCACACGCTCTTCTCCGCTTTCTATAAAAGCCAGACGGGTCCGGGGTCCGCCCACGTAGGCACTTCCTCATGCAGAAATGGACCTGCTTTGAATTTAATCCTGTTGCTGTGAGCCCTTATCTGGGAAGTTATGTACTGAGCAATTATTTAATAGGAAACTATAACTATGAAGTTGGAAGCAGTGATGCTCATGGATGCTATAGGTTTGACATCTATCCATCCATCCATCCATCTTCCCTAAACACTTATCCAGTATTGGGTCACAGGGATCCTATCCCAGTAGACAGAGGGAACAAAGCAGGGGAATACCCCAGATAGGGTGGCAGTCCATCACAAATCACATAAAACACACACATGCACTCATACAAACAATCTCCAAGTGTAGGTAACTTTAGAGATGGAGTACCCAGAGGAAAGGTAAGGAGCATGCACTGATCCTCCTTACCCAGAGGAAACCTGTCATTATATTGTCTATCTTTTGTCTGACTTTCTAGAAACATCTGTTTTAATTGCACTTAAGTATAAGACACTTTGTAACTGATAACTGAGGAACACTAGGAGTAAACTGAGAGGCCCTCAGCATGGCTGCTGTTTGGCAGTACGGGCTCTGCGTGTGAACCCAGGTCACCTGATCCGGTACGAGGACGGCCGGGTCCTGCTGGACTGCCTGGAGCGGGCGGCCGTCCACTACGCTTCGGCTATAAGGCTCAAGCCTCGCGACCCCAAGCTGCACCTCCTGCTGGGCCGGGTGCTGGAGCAGCTGCACTACGCCGCCGAGATGCACGGCCTCAGCCGGCAGGTTAGACTTCAGGAACAACCCCACCCTCTGCATCCAGGCCCATAGGAGGGGTGGGGGGACAGGCTTTCAGAGCTGCTGCAACTGGGATCCAGTCTGGATAGAGGGGGTGAGACAATGACCCCTGGGCAGCAGTAAAGGCAGCATGCCAACTGTCCATGACCCGCAGTCGGGTTGGTGACCGCATCTTGTCCCCGGGCCTGGATTCCCGGCTTTCCCTCTGCTTTTGTGCTTTGCCTCTTATTGTCTGCTTGGTTCTGAAGGGATCCAGACTCCCACTGGCGGGAACCAAACTAGCATTTTCGCCACATCCGCTTCAAAGCTGAGGAAGCCCCCCATGCAACCTTTCCACAAACTTCCCAGTCTGGAAAAACATCCCCCTGACCCTCCCACCCCAAGGGGCCTGATGCTGACTGTGCAGTAAATGTGGTAATTTATGCCTGTCTGATCCCTATGATGTTGTACTTGGTACGGTCTGCTTCTCTAGCAGGCTGAAGAAGATGCCCAGGACCTGGATGGCGCCCAGGTGGCAGGGAAGGACGATGAGGTCCTGGCCATCTGCAAGCTCCACGGCTTCTCCAGCCGGCCCACCCTGGAGGAGCAGCTGAAAGCCCTGGACACAGAGTACCGGCAACTGAGGGAGCAGGGCCTGCCGACCAAAGCCGATTACATCCAGACCCTTTTCATCTGGCTGTCAAAGAGAGCAGGAAAGGTGCCCCCCCCCCCCGCCGGCTCGGTGCCTCTGAGGTTTCAAAGGGTCCCGGGTGATGACCTTCAGAAAGCAGAGCTCTCAGATGTGGGCCGACCGCCTGTGTGGCAGCTTGGCTGGTCCATGGGGCTGTGCTGCTCACTGGTCCTTCTCAATGAAGTAACAAATAACACAAATCTAACATAAAACCATGACTTTTCAAACCCACTTCTAGATTAGTTCCTCACATTTGCATTATTCAGAAATTTGATTACTTTTAAGAAAAAACACCTGCAATTTTTTTTTTTAACAAGAGTTTGTTAATTACGCTGGCCAGCAAAGAATTTGTCACAGAATGACTAAGCGTTGTTTGTTATGTGCTTTCTACGATTTCAGAGATACACTCAGAATTATGCTGTCACCCATAGTCTTTGAGTGATATCATTTGTAGCTTATATCGATAGTACATAATTCCTTATTAAGAATGTATGGGTATATTAAAGTTTAATTAATTAATTTATTTACTTATTTTATTTTTGTTTGTGAACAAGGGTCACAAAGTACTGTAAGCCAGAGTTTACAGGCTGTAACATGTTGACATGTTGAGAGAGGATCTTGTTCCCTCTATGATATGGAAAGACGGTACCAAGTGGAACTCGCTGTGCCTGCTGACTTCTGCTGGACCCTTAAGAGGGATGTTCCTGAGGCCAAGTACAGCAGGAAATCATAATATATACCATAAGTGTGTGTGTGTATATATATATACAGTATATATAGCGTAATGTTTAATTGTGTGTAAAGGTAAATTCTGATCAGATACTTGAATTCAGCACAAAAATACATCTATTTTTCTTTGTGTGACAAAAAGAAAGAGAAAGCACGTGTTGACCAGTATTAGTGGATATAGGATTTAGCACAGGAGCCCCTTACTGTACCAATGCTCCTCACTGCTGCATAAGCAGCTACGATCAGTAGCCTGACTGCGTGCTGCTGCCCCAGGGAGCCGGAGCCGGAGCCGGCAGCCTGGGTGCGGAGAGCCCTCTGCAGCAGGCCCTGCTGAAGTTCCTGGATGCCTGGTCCCTGAGCCCTGATGACTGGGAGCTCAACCTGCACGCGGGGCGCCTGCTGCTACTACATGGTCATGCCCGCGAGGCGCTGCAGCATCTCCGTACAGGCCTGGCCCTGCGGCCCTCGCACGCCCCCCTCAGGTACCCCCCTCAGCACACACCTGTGACCTCTCTGCCCTTGGCTACCTTGCTCCTATTGTTTGCTCATGTATGATGGCACTGAGGAGACAGTTAAACACCTTAGCCATCTGCACAGCTGGCTATGTCAGCTGAATGACTTTACAGTACTTAGCTCAAGGGTATAACGGCAAGGAATCTCCGGTGACATTAATCTGTTTATAAATTCATGTTTTTGGCTACTATCTTGCATGTTTGGATCGTTCATGGTTCTGCTGTATACTTTATAATTCTGGAGCGTGTTGCCGGAACTCTGTGCCTCTGATCTGATAGGTTCTACACAGGACTGGCTATGCTAGAGCAAGACAGGGATCCAGAGAGCAAGGTAGAGGCAGCACTGTATCTCCAGCAAGGCCTGGAGCATTTCATCACCCTGAGCTGCAACCCAGATGGCCTGACCAGGTAGGTGAGGGGGGGGGGGGTTTGCTGTGATCAGCCTACTTTAAAGCCCAAGCAACCATGACAGAAATTAGTGTGCATGCAGTTCATCAAATACGATTAAAAATTGTGAAGTTATGGAGCAGGACTATTCTTAGAATCATCAGGTTTTTTCCCCCCCACCCACCAGTGCTGACAAGCAGGGCACAGCGGACCTGCTGTCCCTAAGAAACACACAGTTCCTCCAAGGCTGCTTCAGTCTGGGAACGTTGCTGAGGGACTGTAAACATCCTGGGAATGCCATGAGCCCAGATCAGGTCTTTCACGCGTAAGTGTCTCCAAAAGTGTCGCCTGCCAGCATTTATGGTGCATTCTAAGTAACGGTGAGAACCTCACACACATTTAGCACGTTTAAATCGAGAGAGACCGCATTGAGTGTCAGGAAAAATGATCAGTCATGGACTCGGTTAAAAGGTTTGCCACCTTCTTTGACATAACTCTTCCGGCACTCGGTCCTCTTTCCTGGAGCACGGCGGTTTTGGCTGCACGCGGCCTGTGTGGGTGCATGTGTCGGGGAGAGGTGGCGCGGCAGATGGACTGGGTCCTGCTAGACGCCCACTTCGCCCTGCTCCAGGCCCTCATTCAGGCCCAGGTTCCTGGCAGGGAGGCCTGGGTGGCCAGGAGGTGCCAGGCCCTGAATTCCCTTATTCGGCTCACCACCATCGCCCCCTGCAGGGAACTCCTCGACTTGCAGGAGAAGGTGACTTTTACGCTCTTACTCCACACCCTCTGCCTTTATGATTCAGGGACATTGGTATCGTGCCTTAAGAACAAACCCTGAAAAATATGGATAGATGGAAAAGATAGATTTTTTAATATAAAATACTGAATAATCAGAAAGTGGATGTTTTAGAGCATTTACATAAAGATCTGGATTTTTCTCTATGCCTTCTCTGATTGGCCAGGTGTGCCAGATTGGAGTGGTGGCCACGCCCCACAGCAGCCACGCCCTCTGCCTGCTCGGTCAGGTTCAGCTGGCCCAGTACGACCATGAGCCAGACTCAGGGATCGTGCAGAGCTCCCTGGCTGACTGCCTCCTCAGCTTCCAGGCCAGCATCGAGCTGGAGGACACCATCCAGTCTGGACCCACACCCAGGCAGCTGGCCGGTGAGCAGGGAGAATCCCCTGCATCTTCCCAGCCCTGAGAGCTACAAGCTCCTGCTTAAACTTCTGGCATTGCCTTGCAGTGGCGAGTAATATCGCTGTAGAGAAACGTGTCTCTGGATACTTCAGATTGTAGCAACAAAAAAAATCTCCCATCCCAAAATGCAGCTTGTGGTGACATCCATCCATCTTTCAACTGCTTATCCTGACCAGGGTTCCAGGCATCAAAGGGCCCAATGCAATGTTGCACCTCAGACAGGATGCCAGTCTGACGCATTAATTAATGCATCCAAAAATGGTACACTGCATTCATCTGCTTCAAGTTGATTTGTATGGATTTTTTATTCCTTTTCTCCTTCAGGTCAGAAGTGGTGGCAGGATCATCAGGCCAAAAAGGAGATGGAGAAGTCTGCCAATCAGACAGCCCCTCCACTAGGGGGCACTCACCATGGCTCAGGAGCGAGAATTGCTGGAGAGGGGTTCAGCTGTGCCAGGATGCTAGGCAGAGGGTGTGCTACAGCCCCTACACCCAGCCAAAGAACTGGAAAACCTGCTTCCCTGTCAGCCAAACCTACCCCACCTGTGGCAAGGTGCTGTGAGTTTGCCTTATAAGGCGACTTCATCATGGCCTTAGTTGAACCCTGCTTTGCCCCAGAAGGTTGCATAGTAAATAATAACATGGACTTTCAAGTCCAAGGGTAGTTGTAGCAACCTTGAGCACAACCGTTGACCTGAGACACTACAGTAAATCATGGGTAAAACTTGGCACTCTGCCCAGCTCTGCCATACAACAAAGCTAGGCCCACTTTCTTTACTGACTCGGAAGTGTGTAAATGGGTATTACACTTCATGTTTATCAAATTAATCTACAAAGTAACTGCACTACAGCGGTATCATTTGTTTTTTTATTGTTGTCCAGCAGAGGGTGCACTGGAGCCAAGCGAAAGTGCGCAAAGACACTTTGCAAAACAACCTCAAAATCCAAGCCTGCTTCCATGGCTCCCAAATCAGCCTGCCAGTCATCTGAGGAGAAGCTGCAGCCTCGAGGTTAATGATGGTACCATAATGACAAATCATTTATTGACCATTGGCCATTTAAGTACAAATGCAGGTGCTTTGGAATTCGTCTCGTCGCCTGCCCACCTTGCTGTCCATAGCTTGGGGGTCACAGCACAGGGTCAGCCAACGTGCGGCGGGGAGCTGGGGGTTAAGGGCCTTGCTTAAGGGCCCACAGACATGTGACCGCTGAGCCAATCAGCACCCTCAACCACCCCCCACCTCTATCAGGATGAGGGTCTGCAAGACATAAACTTGTGCACCTAAGTTAGTGAAAAGCTGTGTTAAAAGTATTGGTGGACATTTCAGATCCAGAAGATAAAAATCCAAAGCAGGATTTTGTTTCAACCAACTAGGTGATTACTCTGTGACTTGTGACTCTTTATACTCAACTTCTTGGACCTGAAATGTCCACCTCTGGTCATAACTCAAGCTTCTGAGTAAGGCACCACCTCAGCACTGACTTGTAAACATCTTTGTCCCCATCTCTGTGTCAGCTCCAAAGGCTGGCCAGCTTGCACTGGATCACATTAGTAGTGGAGATAACATGATGCGCAACTGCTGGTCCCATGTCCCACGCCTAGGCCTGGCTCGGGCCCTGTCCCGCCTACCCAGCACCAGAGAGAAGGCATGCGCTCTCTACCAAGAGGTCATCGCCGTGGCACCAGAGGCCAGTGTAACACGCTCGAGGAAATGTTTTGTTCCATTTCAGGGCGTTGTTTGCCCTAAATAGAGAGTAGCGGGCAACTGTCACACTGACCTTCCACTGCAGGTCCACGATGCTTACATCGAGCTTGCCGATTTGCTGGTTAAGTCTGACCCCCTGGCTGCTGTGGATGTTTATTGCAAGTTCCCGCTCAGGCCCGTCAGTGAGCAGAACTTCGACGATGCCTTTATAAGGGGAGAAATCGTCCGCATCCTCATGAAGGAGGAGCAGTTTGACCACCCGCAGCTGGGCCCCAATCTAATCGCCTACGGGAAGGTCATGGGACTTGGTATGTATTCCCCCTGAGAAGCAGAACAAAGTCCCTCAAATGATCATCAGATATGTCCAAGTCAACATAATTAACATTTATTGAGCCGTTACTAACAATCATTAACTATGCGCTACTGGTCAAAAGTTTGGACACGCCAAGCCGCCTACAAAGCAGAGTGATTGTGTCACATCACATGACCTGGCCGCCTGACCTAAATACAGCAGAAATGGTTTTGGAGGAGTTTGACCAGAGAGTGAAGGAAAAGCAGCCAATGAGGGCTCAGCATATGTGGGACCTCCTCAAGGGCAGCTGGAAAAGCATCACAGGAGGCCAACTCATGGAACTGGCATGGCGGAACAAGCAGCGTCAGCCAGTCACTGGAGCAATTGGGGTTAAGGGCCTCGCTTGGGGGCCTAATGGTGGCATCACTCTGCCAACCATGGGAATTTGAACCAGCAACCTTCTGAGATCCAATCCACAGAGTTGCCCCCTCAATAAATATTTTTTAATACTTTTTTTGATCAGTGCATAATTCCATATATATTGTTTTATAGCTGTGATATCTATGATTATTCTAAAATGATGAGAAAAGTACAAATAAACCTTTCTATGGGTAGGTGTGTCCAACCTTTTGACAAGTGCAGTACATCCTGCATGTCTAATATCCACCTTTCATTTCTATAGGTGGTCTGGAAAAATACATTGATATTCTTGAAGGGAAATTCAAAACAAATCTCTTGAAGACTGTGTATGCTGGAGTCCACGATAAATCAGTTGAAGATAAAGATCTGCAGGACTTTTTCAGTTTTAAATGCTGGATATAACCTGTTTTTCCCCTTAAGGGCAAACTCATTTTTTTTTAAAGATGTGTGTGTGAATTTAATAATGTAATTACATCCTATCATGCTGGCATTTGAAAATTTATACATTTCTGAAATGCATGTTTTTAGAATAATTTTCTCTCTGTACCAAAGAACATTCTTTTAAATAACCTTGTTCTGTTGCCTGAATACTTGGAAAGTTACATATCAGGCTTCTGGATATTTCCACGTATGGATGTCATTAAAACTGAAGTTTGTTAGAACTGCTACTCCATTGAACTATCTTGTATCAGATGGTTATTCGACCAAAATTCAAGTCAGCAGAAAGAAGTTATGCAGGATAAATTTATAAAAATAAAACTGGAGTGAGAGTGAAAACGAAACAAAGAGGGCAAATCTTGCTCTATTCCTTAGAACGAGAGGCTTCTGAACAGGGGACACCTTCAGCAGGTCAGGCCCCCTGAGGACACGGCCGCAGAACGAGGTGCCCTTCACACGCGGTTGAGTTTGGTGACGATGAGGACGCGGACGGCCTGGTCGAAGGCCGAGCAGACGCACAAGCCCTGCTTGTCGGGACTCCAGTCCAGGCTGGCGATGGGTTGTGTGGACAAGGTGATGTTCTGCAGCAGGTTCAGTGTGCCGGCCACCCCCATGTCCACATCCTCGGCATCCTTCCTGCTCCTCTGAGCTGGATACTCGCTGGACAAGAATCAGAGGACCACTGAATGACATGGAACCCCATCCGTCTCGCACCTGCACTTCAAGCCATATATGGTGGACAAGGTCAACTAAAATGCAGGTCACAAGCCTCATGCTCAGGCTCTGGCTACCCAGCTGCAGCAGAAGACACCATATAAGAAAAATAAATGAACTTACTACTTCCACAGATGTAGGTTTCCTGCTCCACCTGTGGTCATGAAGACGTCTCTGTTTTGTGGCAAGTGTCTCACCTGCCAAACTGTGGACTTGTGGGCCTGAAGAAGGACAAGATTTGCTGTCAGGAACTCAGTTCCAGCCACTGGCTTTTAAACAGTTTACTACAGGCATTGCCCATTTATAAATTTGTGGCATATCCTAGCATACAGTGGCATGCAAAAGTTCAGGCACCTCTGGTCAAAATTTGTTAGTATGAATATCTAAGATGACCTGATTTTCAAAAGGGATAGAGTTAAAGATGCATTTCTGTAATATTTTAAGCAATATTACGTTTTATTTCCATCTGTTAGTTTCAAAATATCAAAAAAAGTAGAAGGGCCCAAAGTAAAAGTGATCGCTGTTTGTATCCAACTGAGAGCCTTCCAGCTGTCTGGGGATTTTCGGCCCAGTCCTCCTTGCAGAAAGCCACCCTGGGAGATTCTTGGGCCGTCTTGCACGCTCTGCTCTTCTGAGGTCTACCCACAGATCTTTGATGATGTTTAGGTCCAGCGACTGAAGGCCATGCCAAAACGTTCAGCCTGCACCTCTTGAGGTGGCCCGTCGTGCATTTTGATGGTGTGATGTTTGCTTCTAGAATTTGCTGGTATTTAATTGAATTCATTCTTCCCTCTAGCAGTGAAATGTTCTCCGTGCCCCTGTCTGCAACACAAGCCCAAAGCATGATCGATCCACCCCCGGGCGTAACAGTTGGAGAGACGTTCTTTTCATTTCTCCAAACATACCTTTGTGCTTTGTGGCCAAAAAGTTCTATTTTAACTACCTCAGTCCACAGGACTGGTTTCCAAAAAAATCAGGCTTGACCTTCCATGAAGGTCATATTTGGCAGGTGTTGTTACACAGAACAGTGCACCACTGCTCCAGAATCTGCTAAATCTTCCTGAACGTCTGTTTCAGTCAAGTGGAAATCCTGAGCTGCCTTTCTAGCAACCCTAAGAGCAATTCTCTTAGTCCTTCAGTCCTCAACTTGACCTCCACTGTTCCTGTTAACTGCCATTAAATCACCGACTGAGAAAACAGCTACCTGAAAATACTCTGCTATCTTCTTATAGTCTTCTCCAGCTTTGTGGGAATCGTTTTTTTTTTTTCATTTTCAGAGTGCTAGGCATCTGCTTAGAGGAGCCCATGTTTGCTGGTTGTTGGGAGACGGTTTGAGGAGTCAGAGTACTTATAAAGCTTTGAAATTCGCATCGCCTGGCCTTTCCTAACAATGATTATGAACAAGCCATGGCCCTAACAAGCTAATTAAGGTCTGAGACCTTGGTAAAAGTTATGAGAGCTCAGATCTCTTGGGTGCCCAGATTTTTGGTTCCTTCCTTTTTCCCCCCCACTCTAAAATGATAAAACAAAAATAAGACTTGGATCTTGTCGAAAAGTAATTTTGACCAGGGTTCCCAAACTTCTGCATGAAAAGCATTAGAAAGAAGAAAAGTCAGGATATAATTAGCCTAGTGTTGTACATGTCATGCTTAAACATGCTTCATATGAGTCACACACACACAGCATATCTTCTGAAGTTCTCACCACGATGGAAAAAACTGCAAACAAATTTATGCTGCAGTCTTTGCCTCGAATGAGTGCAAGGCCTGGTCAAACAGCCAAAAACAGGATAAACACCATTCAGGGGGTGTCCCCAGAATCTGCAAAGGCTGACTCTGATGATTATACATCCACAAAATAAGCGCAGAAGAGGAGCTGCCTTTCCCTACAGTGCACATGGCCATGAACTCAGCTTTGCCAAACGGCCTCACTCCATGACTCAAACAAGGCCGCTGAGAACTCTCTTAAAAGGGAGCTTTGTGGGGGTTATGAAATGATGAAAACAGCCTTTGATGCACATCCCAGGCATAAACGTCATATTAAAAAGGATGCTAGTAGATCAGCACGCTTCACTTAGCTGGAATCAGTTCAGGTTCACAAAACCCAGGCTGTGTGGATGGAGCTGTAACAGACACCTGTAACAAAATGCCCATTTCAGGGCCACGGGGTGGAGGCCGGGCTGTTTCCACGGTTACCTTTTCTGAAACCGATGCGAAGCCTTTGGTCGGGTGCTGGGTTCGCATGTCGAATACGTGAAAGTTGCCCTCCAGCGATGTAGCCACCAGTTTGTTCATGCTGATGTCTTTCCGGTCAAACTCCACGCAGCATACCTACAGAGCAAATAAACGTCACAAAAAAACTAACATGAGCCACGGAACAAAGTGCCCTTACTTTAAAAAATTTAAAGCAGGTAAATATTTATCATCTCGGAAAGATGTGCATTAAGATAGTTCAGATATTTAAGAGCTTGAGCATTTATTATACTAAACAAAAGCATCCGATGCTGGGTCTCGGAGGAACCAGAAGAGCAGACGACAGAGGAACACCCTGGATGGTGAGCCGGTTTCTCACCCACACATAGTATGGGTGATTTTAAAGAACTCGCCCATCTGTAAGGAACCAGGGTACTCAAAGGACACAATGCACCATACAGGAAGAACATGCAAATTCTACACACACAGCAGAAGCAGGATTCAAACCCCCAACAACGGAGGTGGGTAGAAACGGTTCTTAAACGTCACACTGACCGTACACCTCAAACGACATCCATACAAAACTAAAAATCAAACACGTCGACGCAATCAGCCGCATATTTAACGCCACCACCATATTCTCTCTGTCATGCCACGTCCCTAGAGGGTGCAGAATGTCTTCGATGCAGCAGACCCACGTAGAGAGCGCAAATAAACGGATTGGGGCAAGTGAGTGAGTCACTTTAATAATGGATATGGCTGCTCTTAAAATGGAAGGTGCTCTCGTTATTAACACCCACTGTTGGTTTAATGCTAGCAATGGCAGACAGGGAAACCAACAATTTACAGTCACGCTTACATGCTAACGAAAAACACACATTCCATGCGAACATTACACGGTTATGACATTTACCTTTAACACAAACATAAAATACACATATTAATTATATACACTATTGAAGAATGCTTGTGGTGCAGGGTACAGCATGCTGGCAACTGCAAAATCTGTCCTGCTGACCAACCTCGCGGTGTCACATTTATGTCAGCCAATCGTGGACAGTGGGCGGGATCAGAGCACACGTAAATGTTCACCTCAGGGACCATGCACAGGTGGTGTGCCGAAATGGTGATCACCGCGGCGATTACACGTCATACAGTGCCATATTACTAACATGATTCTGGGAGTTTTGTCTAAAAGTATACAGCCTCCTATAGACTGACTATGCACTAGGCACTGTGTGGTACACAATCAGAACCGCTTACCCCATTTTTAATGTTCTTTTCCCATCGCAGGGACATGTTTCGGAGATCAAAGAGCTTGATATCTCCATTGTCATAGCCAGCACACACACACCGGTCCTGATCATTGAAGGCGTGGCCTGGACGAGAGGTAGAAAGGAGATCAATGTGTGACTCGGCTTAGAGTAAGTTACAGATCTCACCGTGCAAACTTACACTATATATTCATCTGCATACCAAAAGCCACCGTCCAGCAGTCTCTCCTGGCTTCCCCCTCGACTGGCTCCATGTTAGCAACAGGCAAATCCTTTTGCCTGGGGTCCCAAACCTTTACTGTCCCTGAAAAGTACAAAATGAGGGGCAAAAAAGCAGAAACCGATGAGCACATCTTGGTTGGACACCTTAGTAAAACTTTGCATGTCGAATCCATTATATTCACCGTCTCTGCTTCCTGTCACAATCTCAGGGGCTCCGTCTCCAATTCCCAAGCCTCCCACGCCATCAATGCAGTTCACGATCTCCTTGTGCGCCTTCACAGAGTACACTGGAACGTCAGGTACTTCCAAGTTCCTGTAGATATTTATATTTGCATAACTTGGTCACATGACATCACGTATACAAGAGATATTAGCTAAAATAAATCACGACTGTCCGATTTTTCTACAGCTACTTTCCAAGGAAAGGTAGCTAAATAAACAGAAAACATAATAGATTTCACCGACCATATGTGGAGGTTCCCGTCAAAGTCTCCCGTAGCTATGTGTCTTTGCTGCAGTGAAGTAGCACCAAAAGTCCCACATTTTATAGGCTTGGCTTTTTCAATCTGTAACGAAGAAAAATGACGAATTACAAACGATGTTTAAGCAACAGCAAGTAGCAACACTTTGCTGTCTTAGAGGTGGACAGTGACATTTAGATGCTTTTCAGTTTGTAGCACATTGACACTGTAACAGATGCATACATTTAAAGAAGGGGACGTTTGTTGCCATGGTTACCAATTACTTTTGAGATTTCTGGAATAGTTAGGTCCGTAGTTAACCAAACGTTGTCTAAATTAGGCATTATTACCTCCTTAACGAGATGCACCTCTCCACGTTCAACTTCATAAATCTGCATCACTCCCGTTCCTCTGGCGAAGTTGCCCATGCAAACGAACTTGGCGCTGCATGGGATCCATTTGCTGTCAAACACTGTATAATTCAGGCTTTTGTGAATGTGTGAGATAATCTGAGGCTTTTCAGAAGGTGTGGACATTTTCATAAACGCGAACACGACAGGTGTAGCTAAATATCGAAACAAACACTTGTGAACCCAGTGCAGACTTTAATTCTATTCGAGCCCTAACAGCATTCAGAAGGATAGTTGTGGAAACTGCGGCTTTCATTGCATCCAAAACACATTTGAAGGACCCCGATCGCTATGAGGCTGTTTAGTGAGATGCCTGATTTTTTTTCCAGAGAGAGGTTGACAGTTCTACTGTACCGTTATTACTAAATAATTATTTTATGTCTAAAATAACTGTAGTCGTTTTAGTTGTAATAATATATTTTTCTGTAACTATATATTTTCATGATTTCCAGAAAAGAACATTTGTAACAAGGGTCCTCAGTGACGGTTGGTTGTTTGAGTGCTCTGGTAGGTTGAAGCGCCTCGGCATGGTGTGTGATAAGTAGTGGGAGTATTTTGTGTGAGGGCTTTTTAAAAATAAGATTTCCTTGCATGTATAACAAGTTTCTTCGAGAGGTGTTATGTGGAGCAGTGCACTATCAAAAAAAGTAATATCTGCGCGTAACACGTATGTGTGTCATAGGGCTTTTCAACATTTACACCTTGTATGTTTAAACTGCGCGCAGTTGTGTTTATTTCCAGGTTTGGGGGTACCTGGCTTGTGTAACCGAATTATTGCATATTAGTAATCGAATCCTGTGTTTTATTTCCGTGTAACTGCACCGTCATATAACCACTTATTCTGTGAAAACGCTGGGATTCCCGTGTAACTGTCCCTACAACCCTACGAGGACAATCGTGAGTGAGTTACGCATGACGCTTTATCACTTCAGTATTGTAGTAGAAGGGACGGATGGCCTTAACGTTTTCATTAGCTGCAAATTAACTCATACCTACCATTGACTTATAGACAACGGGCTGCTTCTCACACAGGAAGGCAGCATAGTTGGTCGTCTGTAACGGGTATTTTAAATGTGTGGTTGCATATGCTTTTTTTAAATAAAGCATACTTGGGAATTATGAGTTTTAAGAATAAGGGGTGAGGATAGGAAAAAAATGCACTTGGCTAATAATCAGGATGCATAGGTCGTCAGCTGTTTGATTACAAGGTGAAACAATATAATTAAGGTGAGAATTCTATCTGTATAGTATTAACTGAATTATCTTTCCAGGAGTAGGTACATGTTGATAGGTAAGATGCCATAATTGTGTGCCGTAACAACTAAGGATGTGTGGATCGATACTGAAGTATCAAATTCTTTCTATCTGAAGGTTTCATTGTAAGAATCAATTCTATATATATTATAACATTTTTACCCAGTAATTTGAATGTTTAAATTGTTTTAGAGATCAGGACGTGAACTTCTACCAGACTAGGCTGCCTATGAGGGGGGAAGGGGAAGACTAAGGGGTCCACACACTAATGATTAGAGAAGCTGAATGATCACCCCCCACACATGGAAAAGCATGGTACGTTAGCCATTTACTCCCATATCGTGGGAAAGCCCATTGCGCAGCATATCGTCATGGCAGTTCTCTGGGTCTGGCTTCATAACTGGCAGATCCTAATGATTACCGACTCAGAAACAAGAATATTTAAGGAATGTTTGAGCCTGGGGAGATCGTAGCGGCTTGATCTCAACGTACATCTCAAACCCAATGAGGAAATGGTATGGAGAGGTGTAACCCGATTGGCCAGACATGCCGGAATATACGTCTCGTTAAATTACATACCTGTCAGTTCTGGCAAGAAGTTTGTACTAGTGTGCAGTGGTGATGTGAAGCCTGCATTATCTAATTATGGGGAACTATACATGCTGTTAAAATTCAAACAGCAATCGAATAAAAGTTTCCATGGAAATACAATGTAATCTTTAGATGCAATTTTATGACACCTTGAAGCTGTAAACGAATGGACCGATAGACATCCTTCCTTTGTGATGCCCGCTTTTGTGGTTAAAAAAAAAAAAGTCCTCAGTTTCAAAGTGCTGTTTGAAAGTTTATTTTTTTCCATTTTCATACAGTATGAAGTTTCCAATATTTCCCACAGCACAGGATGCAGCATGCAGAAAAATAATAAAAAAAGCAAAGGGAAAAAAAATTGACCTTGAACCATCATTTTCCTTATCACAAAGTAAATACTCATTCCTCCGGAGAGACGGAACAGTCGCGTTAAAAGTCTTACAGCATTAGCCACACAGAAGGGAAAGTGCAAAACCGTGTTTATAACATACTTCTGTACAAAAAGAATATTTATATATATATATATATATTTTTAAAAATCACAACTGGTTTCCCCTTGAAGCAGAGCAGGTGGCTGTCGGAGCCATGCCTGACCCGAAGCTTTGGTGGAATACAAGTGACACGTCATTCCCAAGGATTTTAAAAAACTCCCATGTAGTGAAGCATCCTCAGCAATCGCGGTCGATCTCACGTTAGCATTCACCAGAGTTTGGCAACATCTATATCATACTGTGATTCTGTATAATGTTAACATTTACATCTCATATGTAAACAAGAGGAACGTCTCAGAAAATGGATCTACATGCATGGGGAAGGGGAGGGAGGGGTGGGGCAAAAAAAAATATCATGCAAGCACATTGAGAGCCGGTGGGGGAGCAGCGTGCAAAACCTTTCTGAAAGACATCCTGAAAGGGAACGACTTGCAGTGAGACACCTGCTGGGATGAGCTCCCAGCCCAGCTGAAGCAGGGTTCACGCTGAGATGAGCTTCAAGAGTATATTTTTAAACCACTTTAAGTCCCAATGTAACCCTTCACCCTGCCCCCCCTCCTCCTCAGTTTTCTCTCAAAGCACAAAAAAGATGCGGTGGGGAGGGAGCGATAAGCTTTTTTTTTTTTTTTTTTAATTTCAAAAATGCACACCCTCATGAAATGTAATCCATTGAGTATTTATCACTCTGACACATTAACGAGGAGTTAAATCTTAACTTCGAGAGTAAAATTTATGAGGAAAGAAAACAACCGTTAATGGGGGCACTGTGTAACAAAGACATGGAGAGGGGAAATCTGGTTGAAAGCAAAAGCAATCCCTGTTTAAAACCAAAAAAGACAACAAATATGGAATCCCTCATTTGCCTAATATACATATATTTGTTAAGGAAAAAAAAGAACAAAGCCTGCACTAGTTCATCATTGTAACACACTATAAAGCAAGATGCAATTCTCGCCTATATTTACAAAAGATTATAAACTATCTGCGTTTTCAGAACTTTTGGAGCACATTCGAATGCAGTAGCTTGATTTTACCTTAACCGCTGTTTAAAAGGTAATAAAATACAAAAATACGTTAAAACGTTACAGCCGTTTCCAATAGAAATGTTTCATTAGCTGTGATGTAATCTTTTTAAATTTCCTGGAAGTAGGGAGGTGATGTGATGGACGCCGTTCACAAAAGTTACCGCAATAAAACGAAGCCCGGACGCTGACGTAAACTGCAGTTCTGCTTGCAATAGACACGTTCACCTTGGCATCTATCTCTATGCTCACTACTACAACTCAGAAAGCAAGACAAGGAATAGAGATTAGCTCCCCAACAATACAAATATACAAACATGGTTGAATCAAGCAATCCCTCACCATACAAAAAAAACCCAACAAAAACAAGCATTATATTTCTGGTATTCTGTGTGTTCATTCTTTTCTTTTTCTTGGAAGCGAAATGTTCAAAATAAACCAGACTTATAGTGTGTGAAACAGAGACAAGGGGAGAAAAAAAAATTAATATATATGGGATAGAGATTGCATCGATCACACAGTGCTTCATGTTCTCTAACCAGTTCTCCCAAAATTAATATGATGGTAAATGACCAGAACTTAATCTAGCTCATTATGTTAATAGGTTCTGCTTGGCACATCAAACCCTACTGTTATGTTGTGAAGAAATCAAGTATATTTAAATCGCAACACAGTTCACTACACTGTTTCCCCCAAAAGAGCTATAGATACACCTCCTTGTTAAAAAATAAACAAGACCAAAATAAATATTAAAAAAAAAAACAAAATAAAAACAAGCCAGCCCTATCTTCCTCTATCGCCTGCGATGCTCTTTTCCATAAACAATCTTTTAGCCGTTTAAAGTGCTACACTGAGTTACAAAGAGAAACAAAGTTCAATAACACTTTAGAGTTGGCTTGATGAGGCTTGTTCTGGGTGGGTGGGTGGGGGGGGGATAAAGGAAGAGTGAAAAAGGTGGCTTCACAGAGAAAAAAAAATACTTCCATTGAAATACACAGAGAGCATCGCCGGGGGCATCTGGGAGCAAATCTTCAGGGGTGGAGAGGAGAGGGCGCCGGTGGATCCATCACACATCCACCACCATCTTTTTGTGTATGTCTAGTCCTCCCACCACCTGCCGGGGCGGACGAAAGGGACACACACCGTAAAACAGACGTCGTGCACAGATGGGCGTACACCCACATGCTCGGCAGGCAAAAACAATGCAGACGGAGACCCGCGTCACGTGATGTTTTTAACATCCTCTCACCATTTAATGGGACCATACAGCTAGGTGCGCAGCTGCTGCAAAGAATGCACCGGAATGACCTTGAGATGTGTTGGCAATGCTGACAACACCCCGCCCCGCCGCCCCATCCTGGCACAGTTTTGGATGCCATGACTCAGACTGCAAGCTCAGCATCCACGTAGCTGCATTTTAATCTGGCTGGGGGTGCATCTTCAGCACTGGCATCATAATGAAAGGAAGCCTATATGTGGGATTAACCTGCAGAATATCACCTTGAGGAGCACGACGGCAACTCGGCCCAAAGACACGCCGTTCTGGGTCTTAAGAAAGGCCGTTCTCAGAGAACGGGGGCAAAGATGGCCGCCGGCTGTTCCAGAAACTGCCAGAGAGGACGACAGCCTCATTTTTCATCACCCACGTTCGTTCACTCACCGCGCAGAACTCCTCGAAGGATATTCTCCCATCGCCGTCCTTGTCTGCATTGATGATGGTTTTGTCGACTATCTGCTGCAGCTGGGTGTCCTTCAGGTTGTTGCCCACCATCATCTTCAGGACCTGGAAGAGCTCGCCGTTGGAGATGTAGCCGTCCTTGTCCATGTCGTAGATGCGGAAGGCGACTGGAGGGTTGAGCAAGAGAGTTGGGGATCACTAACTGAAGAAAACATCAACCAAAGGGAAAGATCTACCAATTGCAGATGTACATATAAGAAACGGCACAGTGGGGAAAAAAATACAGAGCAGATGAGCACCATATTTTATAATTATGCAGAATATAGTTATAATTTCAAATTAAAATAAAAAAAAAAAAACCTTCAACCTTCCAAAACATATTAATGTTAACAGAATATACTCACATCGCAGCTTCTGTTCCTTGTCACCTTTGACACTAAATTGTGAGACTCCCTCTATAAACTCTACAGGATAGAAGAGATGCATTCAGATGACATTTTATGGGAAATACTTAGCAGGAAAACAGGTCGATTTTAGACTAATCGGATAAGATTCTCTTTCAGTCCACCAACATGTTTGATTGTGCAAAGCAGCGTATTGGGAGGACATGGAACATGATCAGTGCCTAGATGTGACACCCCCAGAGATTGAAATGCCTCTGCCCATTAGGCCAGAATAAAGAACAAGAAACTTGGGAAGAGGGTTTGAGTAGTATTTGAAGTAGCGAAGAACAGTACTAAAAATAATGAATAAATAATTAATTGTCCAACTTGAGCAGCTGTGCGACACGCAAGCAGAGAGGCTAGTTCACCGAGAGCGATGCTTTTGTCCAGCTGGACCTGCCTGGTGTTATGTTACAAGGGCAAGTAAACCAGAGTTGGTCACCGCTATGGTGAGGCCAAAGTCCCAAACCCCTATAGCGGCTGCTAACTGTCAAGTGCGGAATGTGACTGACGTTCTGGAAAAGCTGCACTTCGCTTACGGATGTTTCAGGACAGGCCTGTTTACGTAGGGCATTTCTGTAAAACGTCACCGCTGATGTCACCGCTCGGTGTGTGGTGGCCAGTTGACAGAGATGCTCACTAACACACAGGTCAAGGCAACCAAAACGCGAATGCATTGGAAATCTAAACCAATCTATGTGTCCTGTGAGCGGACGCCATACATATTACATACATAACATGATATATGAGCCCAAATCAGTCCAGTACAGTAAAATAACTCATAATAATTACCTAGGGCTACAAGAACATGACAAAGCGGTAACTCACCTTTGAAGTCGACTTCCCCGTTTCCATCAGTGTCGAATATGTCGATGACTCTCTGCACCAGAGGATTCTGCTGTAACTCCGGCAGCGACATGAACTCTTCAACGCTCAGGGAGCCCGAGTTATCGAGGTCGAGTTTCTTAAACCTCTTCCCTAGTCTCTTAATCTCGTCAGCATCAACTGAAAGGGGGGGAGGGGGGGGGGGGGAGAGGACAAGTCAGGATGAACGGATTCACGTGGGAGGGGGTATGGTCTCAGCTCAGGCACAAAAAAGTCCACCCCCTGCACCTGATGACCGTGTAACTGCAGGGCTTGGATGTGGGGGGGAAAGAAAGAAATAGAAAAAATACCGACACACAGACTGAAATGTGGTAAAATGAGAGTAAATCCTGCCCGCAAACTTACGTCTGGTGACCACTGCCGTTGCTGATGGCGGGAAGCCGCGGGTTGCCTCAGACGGGAGCTTATCCAGCGTCCTCCGCGCGCTGGCCATAGCGGTTCCGAGCCGCGGCTCTCCGGCGCAACTGTACTGCCGAGCCATAGGGCAGTGCGCCGTGTTGCTAAACCCCGAGCTTACTCACTGCGTCACGTGACCAGCCGCGGCTCCGCCTCCGTCCGCGCTAATCAGTTTGGCAGAATGATAAATTAATCTTTACATGGGCCCGCCAGCGAGCGAAGGGGGAGGGGGGCAAGGCAGAACAAGCGGCTGTTCCGTGCCGGGTCGCGGATGGCCGGGTGCGCGTGCGGGGAGCCGCAGGGCTCGTCTGCCTGCTGCCTTTGTGGTGCCGCGGTAACTCACCGCGTCCCTCTGACTAACCGGGAACAAAAGGACATGCGTGGTGGACAAGTAGCAGGTATCTGCTCTGGAGGGGTGGGGGGGGGGGCACTCATCGCTAGAGATCTGGATATTTTTATGAACACAGAAACACATTACGGTTGCATAACTCATCTTTTTATGCAGGGAAAAAAACACCATGAAAATGACAGGACTATGGAAGATACATGGATATATCTGTATGGTCAACAGCAGGGACTAGACTTGTTTAGCTACTTTTGGCTCACCTTCCTAATCCTGGGCTCTTTTATTCAATAACAAGCACAACTCATCTGAAAATCGGTACATTTGCTGTACTCCCACCTTCTGCCAGAGGATAAATGAAGGCCATATTGAGGAAATATGGGCAAGTAGCTGTAGAAATATACACAAATTGAAATTCAAAGATTTGAGGGACCTTGTGAGAACTAAAACAGAACCTTACAGCATTTCAAAAAAGTAACTCCAGTGCATAGTGTTTTTTTGTTTTTCATTATTACTTGCAATTAGGGAATAGGCAACATTCACTGGTTGTTATATCACAGTTCTGCCACTAGGTGTGGCACTGGCCATACGAGCAGTGGCTGCAGTCGCTCTTTATATTAACTGCCCTTATAACGACGCCATGACCTGCGCAGTAACCTGGCAGGAGCCTCTGCGACCGGCTGGGTTTTCCTGGAAAGCCTGGCGCCATGTGAACAGGGCATCTTATCCTGACTGTAAACAAACGCTCCCAGGTCCGAGGAACTTCCTGCTGGGGCCCTCCGACGCTGCCTGTGGGTTTCCCTGGAGACCGCAGTGCGCCGTGCGAGGGTAATCTGAACTGAGCGGCTTTGCCAGCCTCCCCCAGCTGAACACGGACAGTGAGGCGCCGTCAACTGAACCCGGCCCTGATGTGACTTAACATTTTATCATCAGTCAAGCACAAGCTGACGCACTGAGCGGTTTCACGTACCAATTCAATGAAACCTACTTAAAACCGTACAAAAATCAGTACTACACTTCAACACATATTTGCATCCAACATGTCGGTCTGTTACACATTTTACTTAAGTTTCTATATTAAAACTCATTGTAATATTGCACATTTAGCAGGAGAAACGTGTTCTGTCACTGCTACAACGTGCAGCGTGTCTTAAAACGTCGAGTCAGTGCCGTATTTTTCCAACGCCACCTCGCTCGCGGGATGCTGGGGAGCCCCCACGCCGTTAAACAACAGACTTTAGCAAGACAGAGAGCTGATAATCGCTGCCCCATGCCAGCTAGCTTAAAAATCCAGGCAGCGGCCGTAACAAATGGATTCAGCCTACGAATCCGCCACAATCATACCTCCCAGAAACAGAGAGGCGGCTCGTTTTGCATAATGGTCTTGGCCGACGGGTCGCGAGAAGCTTCGATTATCTCTGTGTGACAGCAGTCTGGCAGCAAGGGGGAGGGCCACAACACCATTATACCGCTCGCCACCCCCGCTAAAGGGTGCCTGTCGCTTTAAGAGAGAGCACGTCTCGCAGGCTGTTGCCCACCACAAGGTGGCAGTGGCACAGCCCTAGCGCATTGCAACATCACCCACGCACTTCCATTAGCGCTAGCGGGATGCGTATTAAGCCTGATGTGTGTGTGTACGTGCTTGGTGGGGGAGAAAAGGGACTGCAGGCTGTATTTATATTTATAGCCAAGAGACTGGAGATCCCCTGTGCCGTGCCCCCACCCTCCCCGGGAAACCCCTAGCAACATGGAAACCCGGCGAACAGGCAGGGTTATTTCTGGGTGGCCAAAGACACCTAGAGTCAGACAAGCCGGACAGCGAATAAGCGGTGATCCCCGGTTGGCCGCTGACCCACGACAGCAAGGCGCGGCTAAGTTACCGACGGTTACCAACAACCGGTACCATGATTCACAAGCACGCCCTTCGCCCTCCCTGTGTGTGGCCGCTTCGGCATTTTTTTAAACCCGAATCACTTGATTGCGAATGAAATAAGGTATCAATTATTGATTGGCCAACCAGCTCCCACGATCAATAAGTAACAAGCCTTGAAAAACAGAACAGAAAAAGAAAAAAAAAAAACAGATATATCAGTTTTCAGGGGTGTGTGTGCGACACCTGTGTGACTGCTAGATTGGGGTAGCGAGCCGTGTTTCCGAGCGGGTCTACATCACAGATGGCTGGCCAGGTGCCAAAAACAAAGCTCCTCCCATCCCAATGGGGCATTAACTGACCAATCAACTGTCACATAGGGGCGGGAAACTAACAGCGACTTAAATGGCCCTCTCCGTTTGTGGGGCCGTCCCTGTCCTGGTATTTGGTTATCACTGTGTATGAACGCAATATTAGATATGAAACGCACAGGCGTATTTACACGTGTGGCTCTGTGGCTGGAAGGATGTACGCAAGATGCTGGAATTGTAGAACCAGGCAAGGCGGCAGGCCTGGTATGAAAGCTCAACACAGGCACTGCGGCAGTCAGCTATAATAGACAGTTAGACAGATGATGCACTTTATTGATCCCTAGGGAGAAGTTCACTATGAGTAGTAACTCATTATAATGCAGAACGTGGGTATAAATGAGGAGCAAAGCTTAGTGGATGTAGGCATCTATCACAGCGAAAGGGAAGTTGGTCCACTGGCTAAGTAGCTAATGCTAAGGAGTACCAGTGCAAACAACTGAGTGTACTGGTGCTTTCAGTCTCTGCCTGAAGAAGAGCATCATGGGTCTAACAATCAGTGTGACTAAATCGGGGAAGGAGATCACAAGCCAACATGGGAGAAAAGAACAGGGGCACATTTACTGTACTTACATTTCACAACCACCCCCCTCCTACCCCCACCCCCATACTTACACACACACCATCACTCCCCCATTTAAGGAGGAAACAAACGAACAACAAACAAGCAGTGCAGATAAAAGGATGCAGGTCGCCACGCTATTGGCCTGTTAGTGACATGTGACCCAGGCCAGGCGACCACCGCGATGCTATGCAGCCATCTTGACTCACTCCTAATTAAGTATCGGGAATGCAAGACAACGACACCCTGGCAACGGGATTCAGCATCACACAGGAGCCAAGACCACGATATCGACAGGCACATCCTACAGCAGCTATGTCGCTCAGGATTTATTACTGCCGACTATTTATACTTTTTTATTCTTTAAAGAAACATTATGGTATCTGCCAGTAGGGAGATGAGAGAAGCGAAATGCCAGATACTCACAGTGCGAGCACATTTCCAGAGGATAACTGGCTTCATTTCCCTGCGGAGGAAAAAAGAAGAGAAAAAAGAAAATTGGTTGAGGACTTATTTTTGCATTCATGAGGAACACAGGTTAGCCAAAACAACAACAAACGAAATCTGTCAACGGATCGTGAGACGCAGGCCTCCAATGTTAAGACAGAAATATCGATTTCAGGGCAAACTGATTTAGAAGAAAACCTTGATAGTAGGACAAATTGGGGGACACACGGAGAGAGAAGCTCTGCTGGGAGGGCGCGGAGGGTGGGGCTCGTGTCAGCGGCCATAGAAGGAGATGTGCCGTGCAAACTGGGCGAGGGGCGGGTTTAGAGAGCATGCCACCGGCGCCGCACTTCGACATCCCGCGAGTGCTCCTCCAAGTCTCATCGCTGGTTAATTATGCAAGAAAAGGACAAAATGCACAGGGAGGTGGGGAATCGGAGGGGGAGGGTTGGATGAGGCCTGGATCTTTCCAGCATCAGTAAATCTAGGGCAGCCGCACCGGGACAGGCAGGCCTGAGATCTGAAGGCAGCACAGGCCCACCAGTGAACAGCAGAGTGGCTAGGGCAAGGCCAACTACGGTGCCACACGTGGGCCAGAAAGCAGGCAAACGAAAAGAGAAAAGAAAAATAAGCAAGAAAAGTGTGCCAGGTATACGGCAGCGGCTAGATGGCTAGAATACATGCAACTGTGTGCAACCCCCCACACCTCGAGGACAATGCTGGGAGGGGCTTCAGCTGGTCTTCTCTTTTCCCTCCTGGCTTTACACCCCCCCCCCCCCAAGGTGTATGGCAGCCACTGAGAGCAGAACAAGAGGGATTACAGGATGGACATTTTAAAGGGCGGAGGGGGCACTGATTGTGGGAGCCCGCACATCCCCCAGCCACAGGATGGTAGACAGCACCCTGACACCCATGGAGTTGCATTACATGCCCCCCCCCCCCCCCCCACCTTTCATTCAGGAAAGCCGCTCTAACCTTTGAAATGCACAACTTACACGTCATTTCGTTTCATTCCAATACAGATAGAATGGGGCAGGGATCCTCGAAGCAGGCAGACAGTCTGCCACTCACCGTGCACACATATCTCCATCACACTGTCCTGTCCGCTAGCAAGAGAGTCAATGTACAGGCCGTGGGAAACGCCGCAGATGGCACACAGCCAACCCGGCGGGAGCCGACCACGCCTGGGAGCTGCTGTGGCAACGTGCTCACAAGCACAAGGCCCAAAGGGAGTGGATGCATTACTAAGACACACTCCGGCATGGTGGCCTGACCCGCAAATGTTGGCGGATAAAGGTTCCGGAGCTGTACCTTTGAATTTATTGCAGAAACATGTTAGACTACAAGACATTTTGTATTAAGCCATCCTTCTATAATTCCTCCATCCATCTTTCTTCCAACTGTGTATCCTGGTCAATAACACTTATAAGAACACCACCAGCGCCATAGTTCTGAGCCTGCAGAACATCTCATTTCCTGGGTGAGTCCACCAGCTGTCCACAGATAACATGCTCAGGTGCCCCCTCATAGCACAGAGAGAGAGGCTGCCCTGACAAATCATGGCAGTACCATCACAAGGTCTTCTGGGTACCAGAACACCAACTTCCTCTTAATCGCCTCAACCACCGTTCTTGGACTTTTAAGACCTAAAGAGTTATTTTCTGTGACATTCTCAACTGGCTCGGGCCTGACGCTCAGGTATGTGAAACCGCGCCTTACCGTGTCATTGCGTATTCGGCACTCTGGGCCCCAACGCCTTGTCCCGGCCCACGCCACGGCCTGTTCCAACTCGCCGCAGCCCGGCAGACATCATAAAGTTGAAAAAAAGTCAGGCAGGGGGAAAAAAAAAAAAGCCAGGCCTTCAAGAGGGGGTCAACTTCCCAGAGAGACGTGCTTGGTGGCTCAGACACCACAGGCTGTGTGACTAGGACCAAGACCACAACGCTTGAATTAACTCAGACGGGAAGCCAAACATTTTTTTTTAGGATGTTGATGTCAGATGCCCCCTCCATATTAATCACGAGTGTGGGGCTTAGGCATTAAAGCACATGGTCCTTCCCACTTTGCATTTGCCAGGGCTTTGCGTAGCACCTGGTCCTTCAAGATGCAAAGAGTATGACATCACTTTTCAGTCACCAGGCTTCCTTCAAGGTGTGAAATGACGGGTATATCCCAAGCCATGTTGTCATATGGACTGAAACTTAAAGAGACAGTACAGCTGAGTAGTAAGAGGTCATAAGGGGCATATGTATCAGCCGTAATAATGTCATCAGATACAACTAGAGTCATGGTGATTGGGGAAAGAGCCATCCAAAAAAAGCACCAAAAGATGTAGAATTCTTGAAAGTGTAGATACTGATGACATTAACAATTTTCAAGATTCGAAATGAAATCTGTTTTCAATCAGCCCTTCCTATCCTATCTTAGAGGCATCAAGTGCTCGTACCCTAAGCAAAGCACCATGTCTTCAACCCATCTTAAGACCACTTATGCAATACCTGGTTGGGAGCAATCTGGAATCCATCCCAGAAAGCACTGGTACAAGGCAGGGAATCACCCAGAAGGGGGTGCCAATCCAGCACAGGGCCACAGTCAGACTCCATGGGAAATGTAAAGACGCCACTTTGCATAACTGCATGTTTTTGGCCGGCATGAGGAAAACGAGAACATGCCCCAAATAAAACATAGTAGAGATGGGATTCAAACCCCTAACCCTGTCAATGTGAGGTCATGCTGCCGATAGTGAACTGTGCAAAGGTTCTGACAACCCCCAAGAACTACTCCTTTCCTGATTCAACATAACATTAGCCAAAAAACACAAAAGCCTTGTTTTGTGGTACCACTTATGGCCCTAGCAACAGTAACCAGAATGCAACAGGGTCACCATACTCCTGCTCTCATGGAGATGAAGAGACATCCCCCACCTAAATCAAAGGCTACTTCTAAGAGACTAGACTTTGGAGAAAACGTGTAAGAGTGGATTGTGGAAACCATAGGAAGGAATGGAACCCGCAACCCAGAGATATATTAGAATGATTGTTTGTGGAGTATTACTATGATTTTCATCAGAAGCTTTAATCCAGAGCATTTCTGGATTTGCTCTTTTTTTGGATTTTATTTGCAATCACAGAGCTGGATCATTATTGAAGCAATTCAGGTTAAGTACTCAAATCAAGGGTTCCCATAGTTCTCTTGGTCTGCTTCTTCGCTGGTCCCACCTGCTACCTTCACACTGCAGGATGGCTCCATACCACATTCAGTTACGATCTAGATTCTCCAAAGGTCAAAGGTCAGGACTTGAAAAACACCACGTGACCCAGGCAGAAAGTTGGCTACAGGGGGGCGCCGCGCGCAGGACAATGGCCGCATACGTGTGGAGCCAGCAGATGGACAGGAATAACCCCTTACCCGGTGAATGGGTTCGAGGGGACATCCATGCTAGGAGTGCCCTAGTGTGCTTAACCCCGGTTAGATCCCTCCTGCCACTGCTTAGCATTTGTCATCAGAGGCGTTAAGCTTCTAGCTCATCTCATTTCGGCAGACGTACACCTTGGACGGCCGCTTGGGTTGGGGTGTCAGCTTGATTTATAAAAAGCAAGAAATCCTTCCTAGATTAGCCAACGTGTGGACTGTCACGCTTTTCGTTTAATTTTAACTCCCTGCAAAAGCCAATAATCAAAAAGGGGACAGGAACAAGCCTGCCACTAGAGCTAACTCGGGACCTGGGCCCGTTGCCGGGGGCCGACTGGTAGCAGTGGTTGCGATGACTGCTGCTCATTCAGGATTAGGATGCACAATGAAGACTTAGAAGGGACGCTTGCCTAAGATTCATTTACGCTTTCTCAGTCAGGTTGGGTTTATGGTTGGCGTTTGACCTACATTAAGACTGTAAACATGCGTCACAGTACCACTGCCACTTTCATCAGATTCTCCTAAGTTTCTGGGTGTGGTCTACTCTCAACTCCCGATACGCCCCTTTCTGACGTGTGCATTTTGGTTCTTGGGAGACCTCACAGGATTATCCTTAGACAGCTTGACCTCGACGTGTGACCGTCCCCTGGATTGTTATAGCTTCTTTGTATAGTTTGTTGCCCTGTTTGCTCACAACTCTTATAATGACAGATTGCCAAGACAACAAAAGACCTCTGACAAGCACTATGAGCCACGCATAGATCCTTGGGTAAATTAAATCCACAGAGATAGCAAATAACAGCAGCAAAAGGGGCAGAGGGTTCAGGATTAGCACGTTGCTAACTTAGATCAAATCTGCAACAGTGAAGTGGGGCCCACAAATGTAAGTTCGAAGTGCAATTCATTTTTAAGGTAAAGCGCTTGGGCTGGACCATTCTGGCAGGGTAGGGGTGAACTTTAATGGAGTAGTGAAAGCAAAATTACAACCACAATGGCACAGCAGAGTCAAAAACCAAAGACGGTCGTCAAGATGAGGGGTAACTCCAGATGTAAATAAACTGTGTGCGGTAGGTAGAAGCGAGGTTTGGACAAGGGGGGGGGGGGGGGGAGTGTTCAAGCATTCTGCGGCACTTGTGAATAATTCATCCATCATTCAGAATCAATTAGACCCTGTTGAATAAAACATGCTTTGTACAACAGAGACTGTGGCGTTGAACTGAACAGCTGCCCGCCCAACGTCTTCACGGTGCACCGTGGCAGAAAGCAAGGGCAAACCTTGGACTCCTTCGCTCGCTTTCCCACTTTTTCTGGAAGATATGTTCTTCGGGGGGGGGGGGGGGGAACGCATCTGTGTGCCTGCCTTGCTGCTTCCAAGTTCTGAGGAACCGACCCATGTTGGACGACCTTTATCTTTGGCCCCAGAGGTCTGGAAGTTAATTTTTGGCTGGTCAAGGCTGGACTTGGGGAAAAAACAGCTAAATGGCAGCTGATCGCATTCCTTTTCCAGAGTACCACAGGCGCAGCAACTGGTGCGTTTGCATGATTTTTATTTGTGGGTGCAT